GGGAATATTCCTCTGAATTTCATCTTGGTAGTCTTGGCTCTGTCTTTCAAACACTACTGAAAGTCACTTTTTTTTGCCTTGCAAAATGCCAACTACGTTTTGGGGATCAAGAAACATTTCCCTATTACCAAAGAAGTAGGATTTTTAAAATAAAATATGTCTTTGATGTTACACAAATGCATATAACATTATGAGAAGTCCTTCCAAGCCCAAAATTATCTGGTTTCTATGTAATTATGCTCTTAGTAAGGTTGATTTGAACGTCCTAAACAGTAGCGTTAGAGGAAGCATCTCTAAGAATTATTCTTAATTACATAGCGACCATTATTCATAGAAAACTGATTTATTGAAAACCTATTACATTTAAGCCTTGAGATTAGTTCTGGGAAAGGATACAAATATAAGTAAGACACATTTTCTGCTTTAATCAGGAAATATTTTTAGCTTAGCTGGTGTAACGAATGAATCCAAGTAATTTTTCTTTTGGGGAAGTTTTTAAATCACTAGTGAGATGCTATTAAGAACACAAACACATAGTTATTCACCCCCTAGTATGTGCAAAGCATGGGAACTTCAAAGAGGATTAAGATTTCATCTTTGCTGTTAAGGGAAGAAAGACAGACTCAAACAGGCTATGATAAGATAAGAGCAAAGGCAAAGAAAGTGCTGCAAGAACATAGCTCAGAAACTTTGCATAAACAAAATTTAGGAAGTTTACATACAGCATGTTATGTAGTAGATAGAAAATTATATAAGCAATTAATTATTGATTTATTATTTAATGATATCATTAGCATAGTAAAGCTAGAACTTACTTGAGGGAGTTATAATTCTGGCTCTGGCATATGATAGTTAAACTCTGTGAGCTCAGCTTCCAGCATAAAATTCTCATGATAGTATCACCCTCGGAGGGTGTTGTGAGAATTAAATGAAATAGTGTATGGAAAGAGGCTAGTATCCTGCCTGGCACATGGGAGGCCTTCAATAAATAGAATTATTATATCTCTGCTCTTTGCTTTTTGGGAAAAAAACCTGTTCCTGTGAGCAGTGACACACCAGCATGCCCCTTGATCTGTGAACACACCATTCCCACTGCTGCATTCCTAGTAGGCCATCATCATTTCTCAACTTGGCTGGTATGGTGGCCTTTTGTAAGAGCCCTTCCTCTACACTTGCTTCTCTATAATTTACGGTCCATACAACTGCCAGAGTGATTTTATAAAATATATAATTCAGATCGTGTAATTTCCTTACTTCAAACTCTTGATGGTCTCCCAATGATTAAGGGATAGAAATCAAACTTCCTTACAGCCTAAGGCAGAGCTGTACAGAATATCAGAGGGAGAAAACTTCGGGAAAGAACAGAGGAAAATTGTTTCTTTTGTATTTCTGTATTGTTTTGTTTGGCGGCCATAACAAAATACCACAGATGGAGCAGCTTAAACAACAGCAAGATCAAGGTGTCAGTAGGCTTGGTTTCTTCTAAGTCCCCTCTCCTTTGGTTGTGGATGGTTATCTTCTCTGTCTTCACGTGGTCTTTCTACTGTGTGTTTCTGTGTCCTAATCTCTTCTTTTAAGGGCACCAGTCACATTGGATTCGAGCCCATCCTAATGACTTCATTTTAACCTAATTTCCTTTTTTTTAAAGACCCTAATTCCAAATACAGTCATATTCTGAGGCACTGGGGCTTAGGATTTCAACATATGAATTTAGGAAGAACAGAATTCAGCCCATAACCACCTCTCTATGTATTGCCCATCTGTCAGCGGGATTTCTACAAGCTCTTTTCCATGTAGTTTTAACAACTGTCACTATAACGTGTATTCTAAGTATGTTGCTTAAAAGGATGCCCCTTAAGAACATGGACTCAGGGGTAGGTCTCTGCCCACTGACTCTGGTTTTCATTCTGTTTATGTGGCTTTCATTTCTTATCATTCTCTTTCTTACCTGCTTTGCGCCAGCCTCACTGGCCTTTTTTCTAGTCCCTGAACACACTAAGATCTCTCCTGCCTCTGAGCTTTTGCCCTGAAGTACTTTATGCCTGGAATGGCAATTCTCTCTGTTCTTCCAGTGGCTCAGACTTACCCTCCAGGTCTTAGTTTAAAAGTCACCGCTTTGAAGAGTGGCTCAAAAATCTAGGCTTTCCCAGGCTCTTACTCCATTACCAGCCTGTTTTGTACCTCTTATGAATGAAGAGATTCTTCCATTTAACTTATTTCTTTATTATTTATACTCAGACTCTTCTAATAGCATGTTAACTCCCTGCGGCAGGGGACTATTTATTTATTTATTTATTTATTGTATTTAGTTTTATTTTACTTTTCAAATTTTTATTTAAATTCTAGTTAGTTAACATACAGTGTAATATTGGTTGCAGGAATAGAATTTAGTGATGCATTACTTACATATAACACCCAGTGAGACAGGGAACTCTTAAGTCTTGTTAACCACTGTAGCACCAGGGCCTAGTATAGAAACTGACCCTCGGCAGGTTCTTAATTAATGTTTATTGAGTGAGTGTCCAAATGAAATCCCTCTACCAATCATATATTTTTAGAATCTCACTTAATCCGAAAGACCTATATGATTATATAAAGCAAATACTGAATAATGTCACAAACAAACTAACCAATACTAAGATTGTAATTCGGGACACAAATATTTTTTCAAGAATCTTTAAGGAAGTATTATGTAAGAATTTGAAAATACCCATTATTTTCATGGAATCATTGTAACTACAAGAATTAGCATAATCCCACACCCCTTAAACCCCTTAAAATAAATTTGTAAGTAAAAATAGCATTGACCTAATTCCTCTCCTATACTTCCCTTACTCCCATAGAACTCTTACGGTATTAATATTTTACAGGACATAGTTTGGTAAATACTGTTCTAGAAATCAGATGAACACTGTCTGTAAACTAGAATAAAGTGAACTGTATCCCCTAACAACTTGTTAGAAATGCAAATTGCCAGGCTCCACCTTAAACCTACTAAATCAGCAGGGCTAGGGTGAGGCCCAGCATTCTGTACTTTAACAAACCTTTGGGTGATTCTGATCCAGTTAAAGTTTGAAAACCACTGCCCTAAACTGATCTTTAAAGTAACTTTTAAATTCTCAAGAATCTTGTCAAACAAATGGTTCAGTTGTCAGGACATATTCAACTGTAATTGTTCTAAGTAACTTATCTTTCCTTGCTCTGACTTGCAGTAACTTAGTGCTTTTAATAATTGTTCTTAAGAAACTAGCAGAGTGATTTGTCCCACTCTTGAACCACTTTGAATTAAAGCTCTTATCTTCTAAAGTTCAACACACATTACCATCTTCTTGGATTGCCTATGTATTCCTGAAACATTTTGGTTTGATGAGCTTATTACTACCTTATTTTTGTTGTTGTTTACAATTGATCATTCAAATAAAAAGTCAGTTAACTTCTCACACTTATTTTCTCTGTTTTCCAAAGGTGTTATTTTTTTTTTAAATGAAAGCTCATTTAAAAAAAATTTCATCTATACCTTTTCTTTCACTATACTTACAAAGATATATTTTTCTTAGGATACTTATTTATGAAAGAATTTTCTCATTCTCTTTCAAACTATTTTTTCTTCCTGTGGCTCAATCTTTGTCCTATAAAGGGAGAAATATTCTGATTCATTTTTATGAGGATAACTTTAGACCTAGGGCATTAAGCTATGCCTTTTGTCTTTTTTTTTTTTCTTGGCATAAATCCCAACGCCCAACCAGTATCCAAAGGAAATAGTCCAATAACAGATGCTATTCTTTCCAGTATGGAGTATCTAACTTTTAGCCAAACAATGGTATAAACCATCATTTAAGGAAATGATGTTCAAGAGGGCAACAATTTTTTATTTTTATTAGTAATAAAAAATGGTTATATATAGTAGTAACTACTATCATTATTGAGTGCATTATATTCTAGAGACTGGGACAAGTCATTTACATTTATAATTTCAGTTAATACTCGTTAAGACATTTACCTATCAGGATTCATGACGACTAAAATCATAAATTTAAAAAGTGTTAGAGCCAAATATAAATTCCACAATTCCTAATTTTAAGCACCATGCTAAGCCCAGATTGTGGCACTTTTCCTTTGTCTAAAATCTGTGTCAGCCCCATTGTCATGATGCCCCCACCTTTTTCTTCTGCCAAGCAAACCTATGTGTGTGTTTCTGAAACATTCTTATTTAGGCCTGGGAAGGGTCCCATAGTGGCCCTTATCAGAAGCAAAGAGAAACTACTACTTAATAAGTACTCTTATAAGAGAGTCACTGTGTTCAGGGTTTCATATGAGCAATTTCATTTGATCCCTATCAACAGTCTTGCCCGTATCTGTGGTTGCTGCTTTTGAGAGGTTCAATAGCCTGCCCAAGATCAAATGGCTAGTAGGTGGCAAGAAGTGAATAGGTCTGGCTTGTAGGAGAGTTTATCTTTGGTTTCAGTCACCAGTGGATGGTCTGCCTATTGTTAAAGGTGACATGAATCATTTTTGTGCTTAAATTATTTCCCAGAATTCTCAGCTCTCCAAAGATGCATCCCTTACAACTATTATGGTTTACCTCCTCACTCTGTGGCTACGTTTCCTCTTTTTAACAGCTCACTTCTTTATTACTAACGGCCAATCAGATGATGGACTATAAAAAATTACAAAGGCTAAAAGCTTTTGTTCCCTGCACTGCCTGTCATAACAGTGCCCGGAGGTGATGTATTTTTGAAGAAACAAGGTTCCCCTAAGTAATCGGGGTGCGTTTTTGTTTTGTTTTGTTTTGTTTTGTTTTGCCTGTAAATAAACACAGCTTTCTGGTTTTGTTGTTCTTTTGTCTACATTTTCTTTTATTTTTGGAGAGATGAATTACCTCACTGAAAATTTAAGATGCCATAAAAACATGATATATCATATCTGTGTTTACTCTTTAATTATCCTCCTTGCCTATAAAATTGGTAATTTTTTTCACTCATTTACTTCATACCTACTAGGTCCTGTTACAGAAGTAAAAACTGACATATATGTCACCAGCTTTGGACCTGTCTCTGATGTTGAAATGGTAGGTATTTGGGAAATTCAATGTACCTCTTGAGGTTTGGAAGTAAACATGCAGAAGAGAGGGCAATTAATATTTATTTTGTTGTTAATCACACACAGCTAGAAAGTCAAAGAACTGCCTAATTAATCTCAAAAGTTTATAAGAGTAAGACATTGAATTTGCATTTCATCTCTAACATTTGAATATTTTTTGGTTTGGAGTTATTCTCAACAAAGAAAAGAACTTTCCTATTACTAGTCTCCATGGCACAACCTTTTATGCAGTAATTTTTTCCCTTAGAAAATTATTGAAGAGGAGAAAATTGAAGAGTGTAACTAGTTTTTGTATGAAACTGTACTGTAGTCCTAATTGCATTTAGTATTCCATGTTGGCCCAATTGCTCACTCCCTGCCTCCACCCCAACCCCTTCTCACCCTACCTCTCTCTCATGCTTAAAGAGGTTAGAACACCTGATCAGGATGAATTCATCCATTCAGTCCATTCAGTTGTGCCTTCTAATCTTAAATATATGTAGTTTAAAGGTCAAAGGGCCAACTTTACTTTTTTCCTTGACCCGAGGCTCTTAGGCTAACTTTAATAAATTCTGTGACTATAAAATTACTTTTTACATATTTTACTTTGTCTTAGAGATGCCTACAATTTTATGATCAATTATGCCATGATATTTGTTACACTTACTAATTTTGCTACTGGTCTAAAGTACAACTGTAATTACCTGATGCTGGCAGTTTTATTAAATTATAGTAATTACTCTCGAGTGATTCATGTGTATGGTAATTTACTTATCTAATAAAGTAGAAGATTAAGGTATCAAGATGGACATAACATGCTTTAATTGCTGAGAATCTTTTAGTTCTATTGATTTAAGAAAATTTTTGCTCCTATTAATTTTGTTTTTATTTGGGTAGTTTTTTTTTATGAGTGGGAAGGAGGGTAGAATTTAATGCATATTTATGTGTAGTCTTCTGTGATTTGAATATGTCACAAACTAATTTCCCTAGGAATACACAATGGATGTGTTCTTCAGACAGACATGGATTGACAAAAGACTAAAATATGATGGCCCCATTGAAATTTTGAGACTGAACAATATGATGGTAACAAAAGTATGGACCCCTGATACTTTCTTCAGGAATGGAAAGAAATCTGTTTCACATAATATGACAGCTCCAAATAAACTTTTTAGAATTATGAGAAATGGCACTATTTTATACACAATGAGGTAGTCATTTTTTTCTTTTTCCTTCTTCCCTTTTTATGCTTTTTTTTCCCTCCTTCCCTTTTTCCCTCTTTCTGTCCTTCCTTCCTTCTTTTCATCCTTCTCATTTTAGGTGTCATAAAATCATTTTTAAAGTGAGAGCTAATGTTAATTGTATTTTTCCACTTTAGACTCACTATAAGTGCAGAGTGTCCCATGAGATTGGTGGATTTCCCCATGGATGGTCATGCATGCCCTTTGAAATTTGGAAGTTGTAAGTTACAATACAAATATTAGAATTTATTATTACCTAATGCAAGCTGATATTTATATATGGGCATGATTCCCATAATCCATTTAAATCATTGTTCATGACAACAACTCTCTAAGATTTGACTTTGAGGAGACTATTTCAACCCATTTCCAAAAACCAAAAACCTGTTTGTACAGATAGCCTAGGTAGACTGACTCATTAATAGTAGGTTGGTGGTCAGTGGTGAAATTTAGGGACCCCTGGACTCCATGTGTTGGTGGTGTAACAAAGAAAGTACAAAGGATTTTTAATGGGGAAGGGAGTAATTGAACAGTGTCTGTTACAAGCAGTCTTCTTTAAGGCAGATTTGAAAAAAGGTGAGAGAAGTTTCAGGGTTTCTTGAAATGACAAGAGTTAGAATAATAGCAGCAGTGCTGTTAGTATCAAAGTGGCTGAAGCATGATGAAAGCATAGTAGGAGGTATGGTCTGATACACCGACAGAGCCAGATAATATATCACCTTATAGACCACATTAAGGAGTTTGGATTCTATTGTAAATGCTATAGAAAGCCCTTGGAAGGTTTTACTAGGGGATTTGGCATTCTTTGACTGACATTTTACAACTTCATTTCAGCTTTTCTATGGAGAATGGATTGTAGGGAGGTTAGAATAGAAGCAGAGAAGAGTTGGAGGCTATTGCTTTAGTACCATCAAAGATGGCAGTGGCTTAGACAAGGGTGGTACTAGAGGAGAAGCTGTGAGGTAGATGAATTGGGCATATTTTGAGGAGGTAAAGTCGAGAAGGTGAAATGAATGGGTAGAAAACAATATGGAATTCTTTTCCCCTAAGCTTCCTTCTCTGAGATGGCAGAAAAATGAGGTTGCCTCTTCTAAGGTCTGCCACAAATATTTGATTCATTCAGAATCTACCAAAAATAGGTGCTAGCTTTTATTATTGCTTCAGATCCTTAGTACACTGATTGTGAAACTTTTGCCTGCTATTGCTATTGCTCACTGCTTAGCTTAATGAGAATTGGCCATCACCCTTCTTTTATAACCCCTAGTAATCACAGTATTCAGTGAGCTAAGTTAATTCTAGAGAGAGTCATTTGCTCCCTAACCAGTGACTTAATGAGAGAAGATTTAAAAAATAAAAACAAACACATAGACAGAAAGGGCCATCTCTCTGGGGGCAGAATTAAAACCCATTGGTACTGTAAGAATTTAAATTTTCCCCCAAGATAGTTCTTATCTATGGGAAGTTCTTTCCCATCCAGGCCCCTCTGGTTCCCACACACAGCACTCTTCCTAGTGACTTGAACATAGTTGATACGCAATCAGGGTTTGTGCTAAATAAAGAAATCACTCTTTGGAAGTTGAATTTTTGGATTAGGAATTAAGAAGAGAGACATCTTTTGATCGCCTTCACCCATTTTGCCCAGGCCCTCATTTCCTGCCTGAACTATTAAATCATTAAGAGCAAGGTTGTTCTATCAAGGTAGAATAGCCAAGAGAAGGATACCTGATTTAGAATATCAAGGGCAGGAACATAGTATTCGGGCTCTTTTAAATGTCTACTGCTAAATGGCAACAGAAGCCTCAGAGTTCCTTTTGTGAAATCATTTGTAAAAATAGTCTCCCTAGGTATCAGCTCCTTTGTAGAATTAAGCAATTTCACTGAGGACCTACTGTGCTCTAGCCATTTTAGGAAGGTTTGTGGAGGGAACCAATTCATCATGTTCTTTCGGGCTTCCTTGTGTGTGAGCCAAGCTACCTGTTGTGGGTGGACTGGTAAAGCAAGCAGCTGGTTTCCATTCACATTCAACACCGAATAATAGAAAATGGGCTTAAATGGCCACTGGGAGGGATTTGTTGAAGATGGAAGGGAAAATGTCCTGATTCTAAGAGTTTAAAGGTAGCGGAACTGGTTGTGTATTTATAGTCCCTGGAGAGCTTTACAAACAGCAGAATCAGTTGTCGCTGCGGAATAGTTCCCAAACAACATGGGTGTTGCCCAGAGACAGTCTGGAATAGGTGACCCCTGAAGAGCTCTCCCAACAGTAGGATTTCGTTTTGGTTTTGTTGCTGTATTATTATAGGCAGCATCTGGTACATTTCTAATTGGCAGAACGGCCTTAGGATGGAAGAAGTCAGTATTGGTCAAGCACTGGAATTGAGTTAGAGTGGAAGGAAATACTTTTTTTGGTGGAGGAGCATGATTTCTGTTTTTCAGCTGCTTATCCTATTAGTATGGAAGCACATCCAAGTGCACTGATGCATATGTAACATTTAAGTTGCCTTGGTGTTAGTCTCTCCTTCTCCAATCCTTTGACATAAAAACAAGAAATATGCTGAGTTGCAAGGCTGTTCATTTAATCTCTACAGTTTTCTAAATCTTAAGCATGTTTGAATAAATCATAATGACTATTGTTTCCTTTTATTCCATCTTTCTTGAACATGTGTAGTATTCTTTAGTGTTGACCATCAGTCCTGATGAAAAAGGACCATTAAGTCTAATCACATTCTGGGCTCTCATTCAGATGCATATCCGAAGAGTGAGATGATTTATACCTGGACAAAAGGTCCTGAGAAATCAGTGGAAGTTCCAAAGGAGTCTTCCAGCTTAGTCCAATATGACTTGGTGGGGCAAACTGTATCAAGTGAAACTATCAAGTCCATTACGGGTGAGATGCTTAACGATTAAAGTCAATATGCTACTTGGCATTAATTTTCTAGCCTGCAAGTGGGATTGAAAACCACGTTTTGGGATTTGAGTCTTCTGAATCTTGGGCTTCACAGTCTGAGAATAAGGCCACAGCTTTCCTAAGTAACTTTCTTAATATGTCGCTTTCAGATGTCACATTAAAAATGTTTATCAACAGCTCCCAGAAATCTTATAGTTTGTTTCCCTTATTAGCTTTTTAGATTTTTGTCTAAATGCCCATAAAAGATGCTTGAACTCTATGTTATAAGTTTCTCTTTGTATTTTTCTTCATATGTATAACATTTAGAAATACAGCTCTTTCCTAAAACTAAGGCAGGAAGACAGCCTCTCTCGAAGCATATATGTATACGTAACGTGTATCTGTGTATTTCAATTCTTTCCAAAATTAAGCTTTAGATTTTCAAGTGTGTGTATTTCCATTTTTTCAAGTGATTTTCCATAAAAGTGAGGTCTAAATTCTGCTCTTAAGAAAAATGCTGAAATTGAAGGCTAATCGCTTTCGCAGTACCCGATCTTTAAAATAGAAAACACTGCAAGAATTTTTAAAAAAGTTGTAGCTTAATTTGTTAAATCGCTTCACCACTATATAGAACAAAAGTGTTTTTCTACGTAATGATGTTCAATATCATTTCCTCCCTAGTTAGGAACTATATGTTTCTCAGCTTGCTTTCAATGCACAACAGATCATTCTTTGTCTGAAATACTGTTTGTTAGTCTGAAATATGATTATGAAGTCATTGACTAATTGCCTGCGTAACCAATAATACATTTTCCTCGTGTTTTATTTGTAGGTGAATATATTGTTATGACAGTTTATTTCCACCTCAGACGGAAGATGGGTTACTTTATGATTCAGACATACATTCCATGTATTATGACAGTGATTCTTTCTCAAGTTTCGTTCTGGATAAACAAGGAATCAGTTCCAGCTAGGACTGTATTTGGTAAGTGCAATTCATTTCATGGGTATTTTTGTTTGCGTTATATTTTGATCACGATGCACAGGAATAGCTCTTAGACGTCATTTTTTTTTTCTAAGAAAATATTAAACAGTAATATGTCAAGCTGTATGGAGAAAAGAATCACATAGCTTTCTTTTTTCTTTTTTTTCATAAACTTTCATTTTTACCCAGCCAATACAAATAAGGTTTGAGGGGATATAGGTAGGCTATCCCTTCCTTTGGGGCCTCATCGTATTTCCCTTATTGAGACCAGGCAGATCAGACCAAGTGGGAATCTGGGTATGATTTCACTTTTTGTGATATTCTTGGGCTCCTACCTTAATGCTGTGTAGTTGATTTAAAATCATATCTAGGTGTTAAAATGAAATGCACTGGGAACTTAAAATAAAACAAATAAAAGTCACGGCTGAATGAATATGAAAACCTTAGGATAATTTGCCTTTTAATGAAGAGGAACAAAATGCCAGTGGTTTAAATGCATCGAGTTGGATGGCATTATATGCTTAGTTGATTAGCTCATTGTTATATTTTATCTCCATCTTTTCTTTTCTGAACACAGGCATATTTTCTTCTTTTGTTTTTATAGTGGCTTCCTATATATCATATTCTTAACTATATGAGGTCCAGAACACATCAGTTTTAAATTTTTATAGCTGTGAACAAGTCTTCTGTACATCAGCCATGCTTTTGAATAATACAATTTGTTGTAATGATATTTATTCAATTTAACATATTTCTCTATTCTTTTTCTATTGATTGTGAGTAGCAAAAGCATTCAGTAGTAGGATAAGAAGGAAAATGTTCACAGTTGGTCTGGACTGGAGGTACAATCCTCACAAGAGATGTTACTCTTCCTTTGCTTTTTCTAGTTGGTAGGATCAGAGCCATGATACAATATCCCTTATCACACAACAGCAGGAGGGATGCTGGTGAGAAGAAACTGGGGGAAGTGGGAACTTCTCATCCCGCTTCCCCATCCTTATAGAGAACTGATCAGGTGTTTTGGTGTCCTCAGTGCCTCTGAACGTGAGGAAATTTTCCATAGACATCTGCACCCCCCCTTAATCTTAGGTTTACTCAAGAACCCTACTGCGGAAACTATTACAGAGGGTCAATGCTGGGGGCAGGGTATGACCCCAGGAGGGCAGTGAGCAGGTATCATGGCACTGCTTACTTCATAGAGTTGTGAGGGTTCAATTAAAGAATAACTGCACATTGCAAGTGTTGAATAAATTTTACCCATTAAAAATGGGTGTAAAAATGAAAGAGCAAATAACAAATCTAAGCTTGGGACTATAATAGATTGGGGTTTGAAACCGGAATCTGGCACTTATTTTCTCCATCCATATACATCTCCATCCTAATGCATCTCTCCTTCATGGACTGATGAAGTGTTAGACTGATGTTCAGTACTTATCCCAGGGCACACGGTGCACTTAGTACATATTCGTCGCTCTCTCTCGTACTTGTCTCACATGGAGGAGATTTATTTTGTTGGGACTTGGCTTCCTTGATTTTTAATTGCTTTTCAAGGAAAACACTTATTGTTATTGCATAATACCGGGCACTCTGCTAGGTCCTTTATGCTCCTTACCTCATCTAGTGTGTATAGTAGACTTGGGTCTTTACATATCACGTTCAGAGTCAGCCTGACAGGGCAGGAAGTACCTGCGGAGGCTGAGCACAGACCAAACTACCTTCACTTTCCTTGGCACAAATCATACCAATATTTCAGGAATTGTTAACAGAAAATAAGAATAAAACCGCTGGTACACATATTATCATCTTTTCTCCATGACCTTAAAGACTATCTAGAGCAGAAAGCATTGACCCATCCTTTGTGCATCTGATGAAGAGGCAAGAGTGTCTTAGTACAGATTCTGCAGCCAGGCAGCCTCAGTTCTAACCACAAGATCTACCACCGATTTGCTGTAAACCGCCAATGAGTTACTTCTGCTCATTTCCTCGTGTGTTACAACAGGATGAATGGTTGTACCTACTTCATAGGGTTGTTATGAGGATTAAATTGAATTAATTTGGGTAGAGCACTTGGAACAAAGCCTATCACACAATACATTTTATTTAAGTATTTATTATTATAATAGTCCATGCTACCATCTACCTCATTTAAGAATCACTACTCGATACTATAATATGAATGTTCCCTGTATTTTATGGTTATTGTGATTGTTTGATAAGCTTCAGAAGCTTTTTTGGTTGAATACAAACTGGTAGCCACTGTACTATCCCCCTGTCCCCCAAACAATAGAAATTTCCAGTGGTGTGGAGAAGGATTACATTGATTACATTAGTACTCACCAACATCTCCAACAGATAAGACACTGTAAGGAAATTAAGTGGCACGTAGCAAGGATACTGGTAGTACTAATAATAATGATGATAAGATTTACCATCTTATGTAATCTTCACAATAACTCAGCAACGTAGGTGTTATTAGTTTTTCACAGATAGGAAAATAACTCAAAGAAATCAAGAAACTTGTATAAAGTCACATACTTACAAGTGTTGGACCCAGGACAATTTCTGTCTAACTTCGAGAACCCTGCCATTCTGTCTTCACAGGAAGTATGAGGATGTGGGCATTTGTGGAGTATTCCAGAGATTCTGAGTGAGATTGTATGGATGTGTGCTGAAGATAATTCGTGGGTAGCTTTTTCCATTTGAACTGTGACATTTGCCTATCTTGTGCTCGTGTGCCAAGATGTTGGTTTTGATTGACCAGGGAAATTATGCACAATAATTAAGTCTTCAAAGACCTAAGATGTATCAGAATGGTAATTATTAAACTGTTCATTGAGGCACAGAATAAGATGATATTCTTTCCTAAGGAAGTTAAGTTTTAAGTATTTGGGGAATATTAGCAATCTATTTCATATGAGCTTTAAGTAAAAAATTAATTCTGGACTAGTATTTCTTTTCCCTAATTTTCATTTCCCTCTTCACTCTGGGAGAGTATATGTTGGATCAGGGATGTCACTAGAGATCATGGAAAAATAGACTCTCCTCTTCCCCCCTCCCCCGAATTAATTAGTGTAAATATGAAAAGCAGAGTGTGCTAAATTCTCTCCAAAGGCCTTCTATCTGCAAAGTTGTATGCCTGTAAGTCTTGTAATTATTCCAGTATAGTAAAATGTTAAACTAGAGTAAATGCCAGCTGGCATATCTAAATCATTACTAGTTCATTTTCTTGGAGTGGCCAGCCAAAAATTTACTCTTGTGCACAGTCTTAGCCTACTCTTACATGTCCTCTCCCAGCCCCTGGGCCAGCCAATATGGTACGTATTCAGCATTATAAAAGCAGGTACTGGCAGCTCTACTTGAACATGTCAAAAAAAATTCTATGGTTGTTGAAATGTTTTCAGGGTAGATGCCAATTAAGCCATTTAGAGCAGGTGCACTGTCTTCCTAGATGCAGAGGAAGCATGTCTCCTTATCTGAAGGGTTGGCTTCTGTTTGCTACTCTTTTGGTGTTTATTTAACTGAATGCTCTGTCTAAAAACAGCTATAAGAAGCACATTCCTGTCATGCTAGGGCTTTCTTTAAGTTTGACCACAAGGAGGAGAAAATTTTTTGTCTAAAAGGACGGCAACTTCAAACACTTAGCCAATTGTTTATACAGGTTACTTGCCTAACTTTGCCAACAGTCATAAGATATGAACCATAATATTTGAAGGGCTCTTCTACAAACTTTCAAATCAAATTGACTCAAACCAGTGAAAGAGAAGTGGAAAGTGGCCACATATTTTTTGCATTTATGTCCATTAGCATCATTTAACATCTTCATGAACTTGGTGATCTACCCTCCTTAGTGATCAGAAAGTAATTTTGGGATTCAAGGCCCAATAATTGCATTAATATCCTGCTTGCTTAGCACTGATAAGGGAATTTCTTCGCATGACAGCAGGAGATGAAGACCCCTACTTCAGGTCTGCAGGAGAAATTGTTCTGGTACCAAAAAAAAAAAAATGTTCAAAGCAACCTGAGAAATCCTAAATCGCTTATATTTGAGTTTGAGTTTTCCTTTTTGGTTATCACATTATCTGAGTTCTGAGTAGTATTCTTATTTAGGCTGCACTGTTCATATTTTATTTCCAAGTGCTTTCAGCATAATTTCTGTGATAGTAGAGGAAATATACACAAGGAAGTTGTAGAACAGTTTTGAATTCTTAATAGGCCATTAAACTTAAATTTTTATGAATAAGAAGAAAAACTTTGATTTATCTTCAAACTTTGTAGCTAGAATTTTCAATTAATTTACATCTCACAGGCAGTATGGGAATGCTGCCATTTTTCTGAGATCAAATGGAGGCTTAAAAGTTCTAGGGTTTCTTTCTGAAATGAAGTCCAATAAATTCACAGTACTCCATTTTCATAGCAATTTCAATATCTCCATATTTGACCCAGCAAACATTTAAAAATCTGTTTTAGATGAATAAAATTCTAAAACATCACACTTTTTTTCTTTAAAAAGGGAATACAACCAAATCCTCAAGTTTCTTTCTCTGTAGAGTTTATGGAATCTTTTTTAAAGATCTATAGCTTATGCACTGCACAGTTGCTCTAATTTTTTATGTTCTAAACATTGACAATTCAGAAGGGACTGGAGAAGAAATGGATTGGTGAGGAGGTGAAAAAATGAGTTTTTATTTACTATGCATTTATCGTATATCCAGCATTATATGAAGTATGGTAAATCCTGAAGCAGTGTTAGACATTTCTGCCCTCAAGGAAGCTACACTAAATTAGGTTGTGGAGACAGGCCTCATGCATGCAACAATTAGGGAACAAGGCAGAATATAATTAAATGCTGAGTTGAGGAGACAATATAATTTCTCCCTAATTTCAAATATTATTATTCTATTACTCTTGCATGGGCCTCACTATCTCTTCAGTTTGACATGTTATTATTTGGCTTTTGGTGACGGATTGACATGGATTGGAGTATATAGTTTAGGTGACTTTTTCATCATCATCGTCATCATCCTCAATTCAGGAACAATTCTGGATATTATATAGAATGAGTCTATTTTTATTTATCTTTTTAAAGATTTTATTTTATTTATTTGACAGAGAGAGAGAGAGCACACAAGCAGGGGGGATGGCAGAGGGAGAGGGAGAGGCAGACTCCCCACTGAGCAGGAAACCCAATGCAGAGCTCCATCCCAGGACCCCGGGGTAAAGACCTGAGCTGAGGGCAGAGACTTAACCAACTGAGCTACCCAGGTGCCCCTAGAATGAGTTTAAATGGATATAGTAAATTCTCACAGAAGTCTCCAAAGCTTAACTAGATAACATAGCTTATATATGCAGACAGACAAAGATACACAAAGAGACAACTATTAGCATCCTTAAATAACACATTTCTCTATAGCTCCAGTGACAAGTGGAATTTTTCCACTGAGAATGGGGGCTAACCTTTTTTTCAGGCTGAGGAGAAGGCTTCCCCAGAGATGATATTCTTCAGAAACCTATTGATGAAAGAGAAGTACCTCTATTCTTGTTGCAAAGATTTTCCTGCCTACCACAAACTGATGCATGGTAGATGTCCAGTATTTTTAAAACCAAATTATTCTAGAAATCTATTTTTCCAGAAATATACCTTTACTGCTTTTTATAAATGAAGCTCTTTCACAACTAGATTATTATTTTATTATTATCTTAATTCAATAGGCAATATTCAGTTATAAGTATCTATGATTCATGATTTTTCTGGTCATGATTCTCCATAGCAATGGGCCATGCTTATCCCAGAAATTCTGATGCTCCAAATGACAGTGCTATCAACTTCTCACTCCTGGTTGAGAATCAGTGCCTCAGTGAGTCACACTTCCTGTTAGGTTGTGTTGACTTTCTCAGGTATGTTGGCTCAGATACTAAAACCAGTCCAATATATGATAGGTGCCGCATATACTTGTAATCTTTATAGCAAACCCAATAGGTAAGTATCAAATGAAGCCCAATGAGTTTTCCTCACTTAATCCAAGTCACACTGAGCCAATGATTAGAAGAGCCAGGATTTTAATGATATCTGTCTCTTACTTGAAAACCTGTGCTAATTTCACTGAACCGCTAGGGTTTGAATCTTCCATCAAAGATGGTTTGAGATATTGTAAACTTTGTTACCCCTCCCCCTCCAAGTCCCGAGGTTTGTTGGTTTGTTTGCATAGAAGTAATGGTAAACTATTTTGTCTCTTTGCTCTTTTGCTTCTGAAGGAATAACCACAGTCCTCACCATGACCACACTGAGCATCAGCGCGCGGCATTCTTTGCCCAAGGTGTCCTATGCTACTGCCATGGATTGGTTCATAGCTGTCTGCTTTGCTTTCGTATTTTCCGCCCTTATTGAGTTTGCTGCTGTCAATTATTTTACCAATATTCAAATGGAAAAAGCCAAAAGGAAGTCCTCAAAAGCCCTCCAGGAAATACCAGTGGCTCCCGTGCAGAGAGAAAAGCCTCCCGAAGCACCTCTGCAGGTATTTGACTTAATCTCCTTCAGTTGAAGATTTCAACTTTTTGGTCAGATTTGCATTGCCAGGGGAAACACTGAGAATTCGAAAATACCAATAATAATTTGTAAGTCATTTAAAATCCAGAAAAATAGAAAAGGATAATTGTAAATGTAAACTTTAAAACTATGATTAATGGCCTAAAAATCAAATGGGTCCAGATGAGCTAGATTTACGTGGAGCTAGTTGTTTGAAACCTCCTGTCAGAATCAAAAGTTTTTGACTGGGGTAAAATCTGATGTCTACTATTAAGAGGAACCTGTGGATAACTTTGAGTGGGTTGATCAGTCATTTTAGTGGAGTTCATTGAACAAAGTAAAGCAGCGGGTCTTGACGTGATCCCACATTAGAACTATCCCATGGGGCCTGGTGGGGCCTGGGCCCTTGCATTAAACAAGAAAATAAAACCAATAAACAAGAAGACCCATAGTTGTAGCTGATGTACACCAAAGATGAAGCATTATTGTCCTAAAGGGACAGACCTAAAAGGATGTAAAAATCTAAGAGCTACTGTAATTTACATTGCGCACATCAGTGATTCTGTGATTAAAGAAAAAAAGTTTTAAAGTAACGTTTTCCTCATGGACTCCAGTTGTACAAAAATTGCAAGATCTTCATGAAAACGGGTAAGCAAACAGGCAGCTACTCCTCCTCCTCTTCCCCCTCCATCTCCCCCTCCTCCTCCACGATCTCTTTCTTCCTTAATCTCGCTCTACTCAGCTTCCTCTTGAATCAGCCGACAAGTGTCTGTGGTCCCTTATCCATAGCCTTGTAGTTGCCACAAGTGGTCTAACACTCTTTTGCCCAAATCAAAGTATATATAAATGATCAACTTTATTGTCTGTAGATAATAACTCATTCCTTATTTGTTAATCCATTCATTCATTCCTTTATTATTTTTTTTTTTTTTTTAGCTCATTCAACAAATACACATCCAATGCCAACCATGCAACAGACTCTGTTTATGGTCTGGGAATCCACAGTGTACATACCCCCATCCCTGGCCCTGCCCTGCAGCAAATATCCAGCTCTGTGGAGCTTACATTTAAGTGTGTAGGAGGAGGAAAGGGAGACGCATGATTTAAAGAACATAACTAATAAAACACATGGCGTGTTAGATGGTGACTGTGGTAGGGCTGGTAGTGGTGGTAGAGCTGAAGCCCCTAAGAGGAAGGACCGACGTGCTGGGGTGGTCTGAGAGGGCTGGGATTCCATTCGGAATGCAGGTGCCAGGGAAGTCCTCCTCCGCAGGAAGATGGTGGCAGACCAGATTAGGTTAGATGCTCACCCCCGCGGGAATTAACTGGTCAGGGTTCAACAGTCTAGAGCTCCTGCAGAGCTCTGGGCACTGGTTCTCGAAGAAGAGCATGCAGGTAGGGGAATTACTGCGCTTCCCATTAAGTCAATTTTGGTGGTTTACATTTTCTTCTAGAAGAACCCATTTCACAAGATTTTCAAAATCATTAGAAAGGATTTTGTACACTCTTTTCAGTGGAAAAAAAAATGATTATCTGCAGTTTTATTCCTTTCCCGTTCCCTATGGATAAATTTATGTCCTCTCTGCCTTTGATTGTCATTTTAATTGCTTTGCTCTATTGTGTTGGGGACTTGGTAGAAACATTCTATTTACTATTCCTTTCCAAAAAAAAAAAAAAATTAAGTCTTGGGTATTTATTTATTTATTTTACTGCTTCTGTTTTCTAATTACTGATTTGTGATTTATTTTATTTCTATCTTTCTGCAGGTTAATTACGTTACTCTTTTTCTAGTTTCTTGAGTTTAGTTCCTCTAATTTGTTTTCACTGTTTCTTATTTAATAATAAAGATTCCTTTATTGCAATGAGCTGTATTACATACAGCTTTGGCCATAGTTCATAACTTTTGATGCTTATTATCATAATTATTTGCTAAATATTCTACAATTACATGACTGTTTTTCTTTATAAGCTAAGAATTATTTGGAAGATAATATTAAAATTTCCAAAGTGGATTTGGCTTGTTTATTTAACTCCACTGTTCATTTCTAGTTGTGTCACATTGTATTCAGAAATGTTACCTGCACAAATGTAAATATTATTCACACTTTCATTGTGCTCTGAATTATGTTAAAAGCTTATAAATGTTTGATGGCAGTTTGAAAGAAGTTGATTTGTAGCTATTAAATCAATTTTACTTAAAACATTATTATTTCATCCATGTAATAAATCACCTCTTGTCTTCTTGATCTTTCAAACACCAAGAAAGACACAAACAGTTCTCCCACTGATAGATTTGTGTTAAATTTTTTTCACATTTTGACTTTTTTTGTTTTATACACTTTGATACTCTGATATGCAACATGTAAAGATTCATAACTGCTCTGTTTTCATATCAGTCTATGTATTTAATCACAAAATAGCCTTTTTATTTTTGTCCCATATAATACCTTTTCCTTTGAGTTCTATTTGGTCTGATTTTAATGTTTTTTGTATTCTTTCTTAATATTAACTTCTGTAATATATTTTTACTACTAACTAAATTCCTTATTCTTTATTTTCTCATGGACTTTAGAAGCTATATGTCATATCTTTATTTCACTAGTGATTAACTTTTAAGTTTTAAGACAACATATTTCTACTAATGATTTTCTAATAATGTTGAAAAGTATAAAAACATAATGACTCTCCCATGTAGCTATTAACTTCTCCCAACCCCAGGATTGCTCAAGTCCAGAGATTCTGGATTTGGAGATGTATACATAATATATATATACATAATTTTTTCTATTTATAATGAGTTGTTATAGTTCTCTTCGTTTTTTGCAAAGTGAACTTGCACTAGTGCTGTAATGGAATATTATAAATACTTAAAAGTACCACTTAATTAGAATAAAGCTAATGTCCAAAGGTGGGAAGAGGACTGATAATCTTCTGTTCGCTCCTTTAAACATATCTCTTAGATGGAGCTGTTGCCATTACCAGTAAATCTCAATTGAACAAATGCAATGGACTAAGTCCACTCTGATTCAGTAACTCCTCTTGGCAGGATGGACCACAAGCTGTGTGCAAATGACATAACCCAATGTCAAGAAAATTAAATTTGTTTGTGAGGGCATAGATTCATAGTATTTAAGGGTGGGAAAGAAATCCAGTCAAAATATACATCAGAGGCTTCATGTCCTCTACAATATTTGACTATGTATGTATAATAACTCAGATCTCCACAGCAGTGTACTTGAAGTCTGTGTTCCTAAGACAGTGATTAATAGGTTAGCCCACCCATCCTCCTAACTCCAGATTCTCACCAAAGCATAGCTGGCTTTGGAGTGTCAGTTGTCAGTGAATGGCTTCAGTATCAAGTTCAACTTTGAAGGTTGAGAACACATTAAAATTAAGAGAGGGAGGGAGGATTTGGGGGGAGGGACAGAGAGAGAGAGAGATAGGGAGAAGGAAATTTAGAAGGAGAAAGATTGTGTTAAGAGCAAAATTTTAAAACATATTATTGGAAGGAAAAATTCTAAGAATATATAAGGTTTGGAGTTTCAGTAGAGATTCTAATCAGACAGCTGAAATTTGCTTATTCAAATATGTATTCCAGCTTGTATGGCTGTTTACTTATTTGAATGGTGCTGCCTTTGTTTAAAATGTGCTTAAACTCCTTATTTGGAATTGCCCCGAGAGTCTACATGACATTTGGTAATTCAATAGTCCTTTGGGTAAGGTCACTAGTGGCTTGATTCATTGTCACCATATGTGACCTGTGGACTGTTAATGGCCTGGCAAAGGTTTATGGTGACCATTCGTATTCTTTGGGAATTGGAATGTGTATGGTTTATGCAATATTCATGAAGTAAGGAGAAAAGGCGGATTGGCAGAATCTAAGGGCAGCTGTGGGCAGCTTGAATATGTCTTTGGGCATCTCAAGAGGCAAAGCAGCTGTTCTGCTTCTCTACTCAGCATTACCTTAATTCTGCCTCTGATTCTGTCCTTCCAACATTTGAGTTAAGCTTCATTGTTGTGATTGTACCCTTCCATATACTTACTACTTTTGAGAGTATCTGTTCTCTCACTGATGCAGGTGATTTGGATTAATAGGCTGGTTTAGAAAATAAATAACTCTTAAAAAAGGGAATATTTCTTAAAATCATATTTTAAGAAATCATTTGAAAATATATCTTATAGTCCTTGTTCAGTTAGAAAGTATGCATTTATGAGTGTGTGTTGTATCTTGTGAAAAAAAATCCAAAGATGTAATGACTAAAGTTAATTGGTCTCTTAAATTGTATCAGGTACTATGTGATATGCTTTCCATGTGCTACTTAATTTCAAGGTCATGATAACTATTTTACAAATGAAGAAACTGAGGTTGGCAGTTGTTAAGCGATGTACTCAAGAAATGGTAAACCCAAAATTTAAATTAATTCAGCTGTATCTGAATGCAGAACTTCTCTTTTATTAAAACTGTTTTATAGTATTTAATTTATTATATACCTATAAAGAATAGACAGTAGAACGTGTATATTATATACATGTAAAAAACGATCAGCCCAACAGTCTTGTTCATATTTCTATAAATAAATGACGATAGCAAAATATTCTGAATGCTCTTAACATGTCAGTTAACAAGAACTTTTGCAGACATTCAAGCCTTAATGATGGATTAGAAATGTTGAGTGATGGAACTGGAGGGTGAGATGGTAGTGGTGTCATTCTCTAGAACAGAGAAGAGCAGTGAACCACCTTTAATTAAGAAGCGAATTAGTTCAAGTTTAGATAGTGGCAGTTTCCATAGCAGGACATTTTCTCCCTTCCCACGATAATGATGATTTTCTTTTTTCAAGCTGCAAATGCACACTTCTCCACTGCATACCTTTCCTTTCCCACTACCTAATTTCTTTGTTTCCTTCTCACTGTAACTCTTCTTCCTGGACTTCTCAATTTTAAAATGTTTGTAGATTCTTACAAGGATATTTGTAAAATTAAAGAGCT